TGCAACCACATCCCAGCAAAAGCCGCTGAGACCCAAGGCTGCTCACAGGCACCCGCCTCACCACATTTTGTTTTGGGCTTTAAAACTCTAAGGGGCTCTCAAAAGTTGCTTAAATGTTGTCCTGGGGGGCGAGGGTCTTGAGCTGGCTTGGTTATTCCAAGGTAGTCTAGCTAGCCCACTGCGACACGCAAGAAAATTGTTGCATTATGCTGGGCGCTCCTCCTATTCTGTGGGAGTCATTGTCACGGAGAGGTGCTGAGAGTTTGGCTAGCCCAGGAAGACGTGGCACATGAGCAGCCCTTTGTGAAATGTGTTGGGGCCTGCCGGCCTTTGACTCAGCGCCCTTGCGCTTGGGGCCTCCATGCGTTCAGGCAGTGTCCTGGCATGTTTTGGGCCCCGGCAAACTGATTGGGCGCGCGCCAAACCGCATTGAAAACACGATCCTTCGCGCAACTCCCACTTGTTCTCAGTCCGCATTCCGACTAATGCCTTAAAACTGGGGCTTGCTAATTGTTGCAAAGGGCCCACTTCGATATATTCAGGCAGTTTCCTGGCATGCTTTTGGTACCCGCAGCTGGGCACGGCAACTTTGTTTTGTGAATTCGCCTTGAAAATGCTACCCTGTGTGAAATTGCCATTGATTCTCAATCCACACCAACCCTTTATGAAATTGCTGGAATTTGTTTGAAAGCGATACTGCCTTCCTTCGCTTTGCAGGCTTCGGGCTTGCAGAGCGCCTTTTGCGTAAATCAACTTTGGCCTGCTCCAATCTTGATTTGAGTCCAGGTTGTAGTTCTCTTGCAAGACACTGAGTGCAGAATGCCACTGCGCGTGGCTCAGCTCCAACGTGCGGTGCGTGCGCCTCGCATTTTGAGTTGTTGGTGGCCAGCACTCTGGCCCTAAGACAGGCTTTGCCATGTGTTTCAGAGCAGCGCAGCAGACTTCCAGCGAACACGTGGTCCATGGATGGAAAGGCATTTCTCAACTCGCTTGCAATTGCGCCAGAGACTCTTGATGCAATAGTGCGTAAAGAGGTGGGGTCAATTTCATGTTTAGGTTTAACTTCCAATGTCCACCGTATCTTTGGCAGCCCCCAAGGGCTGTAGTCGTTGCGGCGCTTGAGGCAGCCAGGGCGCCCAGCACGACGAGCCAGCGCTTGGCCCGGGTGCTCCATGCGAAGGGGGGGGGGCAGGTGCAAGAACAAAGATCGGTAATTGAGCGCTGGAGGGGACATTTGACACAGCAGTGCTCTGACTTGTGGCACCTGCCTTGACTGTGAGCCTGGCCTAGCTTTTTGGCTTCAGCCTGCCAACCTGCCCTGGTCACTACTTATGTGCTGTAGGCAGGATCCAACGCAGCCCAATCACTTCTAACAAGCTGTCAGGGCGACAAGGCTCTAGGCCTAAATCATTTGAGGCTGATTGTGGCCAGGTAAGTTTGCGCAAAGTCATATACATTCAAAGCTCTTCAAAAACTTGTCGTGCAGCTGCAGAGCTTTCTGCCAACCGGCTGTAGGAGCCTTTCAGAGCGACGTCCCACTGGCTTGGATTCCCATTCACCCAACTGCTGCCGTGATGTGCAACATGAGCCCTGATTTCTTTCAGGGTGATTGCTGGTTTCAGAGCGACAAGCAAGTCACGGGGATTCGGAATCCCTGGCCGCCCTGCGTTGCGCCCATGCTTTTCCACCCTTACAGTACTAGTTTAGATGCAGCAGAGCTGGCCCACCCAGGCTTGGGGCCCTTGGCAGCTGTGTAGACAGACAGGCGCAAAGAGAAGCCGAGCTAGTTTTGTCCATTGGGCAGGTCATGATCGCGCCGGAGATCACAGAGACAAAGCGCTTCGCTTTGGAGGAGCTGAGCGTTGAGTCCGACTCAGGATGGCGAGACACCGACGCCGCTCACATAGAGGACGCAGCTTTGTGTTTTGCTAGTGCCTTATCTTAAGAAACCAACTAGGCTTTTTAGCACCCGTTGTAGGAGCTTGAGGCTCTCTTCCTTCGCGGAGAATACGGGTTCAACGTCCAAGGCATCCCGCAAGTCCTCGAGAAGGGCGTCAGTGCTGTGGACGGTGGGATGCTGCTTGCAGATGGCAAGGCAGTAATTCACGTGCTGAAGAAGCTGAAGCAAAAGGTCGGCAGTGAAACGCCGGCGTGGCTGACATCCCGGATGCAGGAAGTTGCTTGGCCACTGTTTGTCATGCATTCTGCTGCAGGCAGTTTCATTTCAGCGTTACTTGTTGAACACATGCTTACGAGCCGGAATCCAGGTTTTTGAGAAGGGTGCCCGCTGCGACGTGGTGCGGTTCCAAGATGAGACCCGGGAGACACGCGTGCAGTGGTATGCAATGTCTCATTTGAGTGAGAGCAACAAGTTCCGTGAGACCACCCTAAAAACAATCAGGGACTTGTGCATAGCGGCCTACAGCAGGACCAAATCCTGGGAGTCTGTAGAGTCTGACTTTCTGGGCAAATATGGATCCCAGAAAAAGAGCACCGTCAAGAGATGGCTGACTATGTCACGGCACGTGGAAGCAGAGGTGGTGGACCTCGCGCATCCCGGGCCTTCCCCTTGGCTTTGTCATGGGGAACGTGTATTTCGTTGGCGAAAAGAAGCTAGGGCTGGAATTTGGCCTTTGCGCTCTGGAGTTGGTAGAGAGGCCGCTGTCGGCTGGCAAGAGCGTGACCGTGGAGATGTTCAAGTCTGAGTACTGCGCTCCTGTTAAGGCCCTTAAATTTAAAGCCCCCCTTCATGCCCTCTGAGCAGAGACAGCCCAATGGCCCCGTAAACAAATAAAGTCCTTCAACGCCCTTCCCAATGAAGACAGATACGCGTGTTTCAAGGCTTTTCGGCGCCTTTGGGTCTTGCTTGACGTCGCCAGTCGAAACCGCCTGCAAGCGACCCTGTCACTGCGAAACAGAAGTGAGCTTGTCAAGGTGTCGATAAGAAAAAACCGCGTGTCAAAGTCGAAGGCTCTAGGTGGCTCATACTCAAGCTTCCCCTCAGGCCCTGGCGGTGTGGCACGCAGCTCGCTTGAAGGAGTTTGGCCAGCTGGCAACTACCCTGCCATCATTTAGCAGCCTCATGAAGACCTTGAAGTCAGATTCTTCCCTGCAGCGGTTGATCTGTTGCGTTTGCTTGTGCAGCCAGTGCAATTTGTGCAGCCCCGCCTGGCTCGCGCGCCTGCCAGGAAAGCGGGCGCCTCAACATTCTTGCTTGTGTACGCGCCAACCCGCCGATCCCTATCCATGGCAAAGGGTCTCAAGTTGGGGTGGAAGAGGCCGGCACAGTGCAGCCTAGCTCTAGATGGTTAGAGGCTTCATGCCAAGTTTCTGCCATACTGCCCTGAAGCCAAGAGTGTGAGAACCATGAGAGATGGACTGTGTGTGGAATAAGGTACCGGGAGCTTTGCCGCCTGAAGAACCCAGACAAGTACCCTGCGGCCAGGGCAGCCAATGACGGTCCTGCTAGCGGGGAAGGTCAAGCTGGCTGCGCCCTGTCCACAGACGATATGGAGGTCATAGCGATGGAGCAGGACGTGGAAGACCGCGTGGAGGAAGAGTGCCCTATTGCCGCAAAGGCGCGTGCTTTGTCAATGGAAGATCTCTCTGCAGTTTGGGAGCACGACGCAGCAGAGAATCTGGCTGACAATGTGCGCCTACGGGTTGGAGAAGGACGCGTGTAGAGGTGATTGTGTGCGAAGTAGCTCGCGCGGGTGGGTTTCTATGGCTGAGTGCTTGTTAGCCGTCACCACAGAACCGCTGCCGTGCGGCGCGCGCAGATTTTGCTTGCTTTGTGGATGACATAAGGCGCGCGCAGATTTTGCCTGATGACATAAGGCGCGCGCAGATTTTGCCTTCTTTGTGGATGACATAAGGCGCGCGCAGATTTTGCCTGCTTTGTGGATGACATAAGGCGCGCGCAGAATTTGCCTGCTTTGTGGATGACAGAAGGCGCGCGCAGATTTTGCCTGCTTTGTGGATGACATAAGGCGCGCGCAGATTTTGCCTGCTTTGTGGATGACATAAGGCGCGCGCAGATTTTGCCTGCTTTGTGGATGACCGCAGATTTTGCCTGCTTTTGTGGATGACATAAGGCGCGCGCAGATTTTGCCTGCTTTGTGGATGACATAAGGCACGCGCAGATTTTGCCTGCTTTGTGGATGACATGAGGCGCGCGCAGATTTTGCCTGCTTTGTGGATGACCGCAGATTTTGCCTGCTTTGTGGATGACATAAGGCGCGCGCAGATTTTGCCTGCTTTGTGGATGACATAAGGCGCGCGTAGATTTTGCCTGCTTTGTGGATGCCATAAGGCGCGCGCAGATTTTGCCTGCTTTGTGGATGACATAAGGCGCGCGTAGATTTTGCCTGCTTTGAGTAAGATTAAAATCGAAACTTTAAACAATCTTCGATTTAAAAGATCCATATCTTAAAACCTTTAAACCCTAAACCGGGAAAATACGTGCAAATGCGACGAACAAATTTCACGGTTTCGTTTTATAGAGTAAATAATATAACTTTCAATATCAATTCCAATTATTTTTATTACAAAATATTAATAACAGAATCAATATAAAATAATAAATATTCAATTATTTTCATCAATACTTAATAAGACTATAATCAACATCAAATACCAACAATTTCATAACACATAGAATAACATAATCATGAATATATCCAAACACAAAACAATCCTAATACTAAAATCATTTATTCTGATACTTCAAAAATCAACAATCATACAATTATTTGAAATACATCCCGCCAATCCCAGCTCAAATCACACACAATCCAGACCTTGTTTTCAACAATACATACACTACAACCATAGCTTCCACATTGTAAGAGTGAAGCGAGGACGGTCAAGTCCCCTTTTATACCCGCAAAATCGCACCCCCAAAGACAAAGCTCGAACAAACTTCTTCAAGGCCAGCTTTCGGGATAACAAGCAATTCCATCACCCTCAAGTCTATGTTGAAATGCTCAAGTATGTTTTGTTTCTCAAGGATAAAGAGCCGTTCGGGTATTCATTCATCCAAGACTGCCCTCCGCCGTCGGCTCGGGTCGCATACTGCCAAGCCCTGACGGCGCCGGAAGCGGTTCGCGTAGCTGATGTTCCAACCTGGGAAACACATTCGAGGATCCAGATATACATTCTTTTTGCATGAACATATTATAACTAAGTTCAAAATAGGTGGTTTCCTCTTTTTTTTTTGCTACAAACAATCAACAACATGAGGTTTACTTTTCAAACAACCTGAAAATGCGTGTACGCATGAGTCTCAATCAATAGGACAACTCAACAACCTTCTGTTTGGAGAGAGTGCAAGCCGGTGTTTGCAGAAGGTGCAAGCAGTGTTTAACACAACCCTTTGCTTCAATGGCAAATCTTTCAAAAAGGAGTCGTCAGAGACACGAGGGTAACCAATGCAGACCATTCAAAAAGACAGCCCGAAGCAAACATCATTTTTCCGTCACCACCAGCCACTTACTCAAAGGACCTGGAAACAAACGATTCTTTTTGGGGCACCTTGCCTAAAATTGTCCGGAAACTCACAAGTTGTGAGCAGCTCGGCTTGGGAAGAGGCAACAAAAAAAACAAGATGCCAGCCGAACCCTCCGAGTCGAATCCGAGTCGCCCGCGTCGATGGTCATCTCCTCCGGGCAATCAGTTTCAGCACAGGCCTCCGCCATGCGCGCATTTGCACGCCGCAGGGCGGCCAAGTCCTCGGAGACGTGGCCCGCCCAAAGCTCCTGGCAAGACAGCATTCCAACCAAAACACGAGAGATTGGGTCCCGTCCTTGTGGCTCCCCTTGGAAACTTTGCAAATTGTGTGCAAGCCGGTGCGCGGCGAACGTCACTTAGGCAATGAGGCAAGGAGGCACATCAGGGATCCCTTACTTCCGCTTGGCAGGGTTAAGAGAGGCCAAAAACAAGCATTCACTTGGATTCCAAGTGCTCGGGCTTTCAAGTTGGCAAACAAGCGCTTTGACCCCAAATCAACCCCAAACAACGACAACATCTTGGCGGCAGCCTATTCCCCTGTCAACTCCGACCCTGTTCCTGGAAGGACTCGTTGAAATGCCGGTATAGCTGAAGGTCAATGTTGGCGGCATGCGCGCGGAGCCATTCGAGAGTTGTCGCGTTAAACTCCTCATAGGCCCCCTCATGCTTCTTCATTTCCTCAGAGGGAGATTCTGCTTAATAGGAACCCTGGATTCATCAGCCTCTAGTCCCCGTTGAGCGGGGAATCGTCGAGGCGAACACGCCCTATTTGAAGGACGGGTTTATTCATCCGGGGTGTGGGTTATGGCCACACGCACCCTGAAGTGCAACACCCGCACGCAAAAACGAACCATGCAAAAAACGATGTACGCAAACAGCGCCATTATCGCTCCTCTTCTCTATCCCTCTCTCTCTCTCTCTCTCTCCCTTCCTCCCTCCCTCGCCCTCTCTTGGGCCAGGCTCGATGTAGGTTACCGCCGGAAGATCCAGGTTCAAGCGATGCTTCAGCAAGACCAGGCCCTCGTCAAAGAACTCTGTGATCATCATCAAGCCTCTCACTGTTTTTCCTTGCTTCCTTCCTTTCCTTCTTTTCTTGTCTTGTCTTTCTTTCTGTAGTACGGGCAGCGTCCCAGCCAGGCACTTGATTCACGAAATGGAGTACTCATTTGAATCTGCTTTGCCCACAAGGAATCAAACAATTTGGCTGCCCCTCCACACAAACATGTCAAGGATCCTTCAACCCCCCCTCATTTGCACCCTGTGGACCTCCCGACAAACATCCTTGGAAACGGAGGCCTCAACCATGAAACATGCGGGTTAAAAGTTATATGTACGTGTTGAGGGTACCCCTTTGTTTGGGCTAGGCCAACCAATATCCACGGGGTCTCCACCCAGACTTCTCGACAGATGCAAAACGCCTCTCGGAAACTCGAAGCTCTGCTTCAGCGCCGCGATCCAGGACTTCACCTCCTCTGAGGAGGAGTTTGGCCGTCCTCCGGCCTCGTAGAAGCCCAAGTCATTTGCCTGGAAGTTCACGTAGTGGTAGACCTTGGCCCCCCATGTTCATAGAATCCAATGAGCCCCCCGCCCCGCCCCTCACTTCCAAAAAGCAAGACTTTCAAAAGGCCTTCATCTGGAAGCAAGCCACTGGCCAAGCCCCAGAAAAAAGTTGTCTGGACCTTGCTCAATTTTCAACCTTGGGCCACGCACGCTCAACCTTTAAGGAGGGGCTTGAGCACACGGTTGCAAATGGAGTTATGAAGTGCCCGAACAACCGTGCGAAAGAGGTATGTTTGGCGGTGCCAAAATCATCGTCCTTGGATTCAAACCTTTTCCATCCTGATTTGAATGAAGGCAAAAGATGCAACACGCTACCGCACCAAGACGAAGGCACAGGCTGCTCGTGCCGTCCGGCATCGAGCATCCTCACAAAGTCGTCGATCGACGTCCACTTGTCAAAAAAATTGAAGGTGCTCCGCAGCTGGCTCTCAGGCTGTCGCAAAATAGAAACAAAGAACGGCGACGGCTTCAGGAAGGATGCGAAGGCAGTAGCATTGAAGACAGCGTGGTTGAGGATCCTTACCCGCTTAAAGGCTTACGCAAGGTCACGTTATTTGTGTGCAAGGGTTTGTGTGCAAATTTCTTCAAAAACAAGAACAAATGCAGCAGCCAGCCCTCCCAACCGACAAAGAGAAGGTTCTGAAGGGCAATGTGTGCCTACGCATCCCGAGCAAGCAATTAGCAATTAGAATAGGCAACGCCGAAAACAGTTTCCCTACTGGTTTTCCCTTTAATCACCACCCGAAAAAGGTAGGCCTTCGACCACGAAACCTTGGGCGCCCCTTTGAAGAAACTGGCAGATGATAGCCAACTGGAATCCAGCGCGCGAAAGAACATCCAAAACGCCCCAACTTATCAAAGAACCTTCCAAAGATTTCTTCCCCTACCCTTGAAAGCGTGATCTGACTGACCAAGGCGCATATCGAAGAGGCTTCCTTCGTGCAGGCGCTGGGCGTTTTCCCCGGGAAAGGCTAGGGGGTAGCCCAGCTTGAGGCTCTTTGCAGCTGGGCATCATGACGGAAGAGTTCTGCGCCCCTGCCAACCTCCAGCAAACGGCGGGCTGAGGGGGGGGGATGATAGGAACCACCACCTCGACCTGCGTCCCACTTATAGACGTAGATGATGCTCATCAAAGCCATACAAAACATTCACCCCCAAAAAAGGAGAAACAAAACGGACCCCCCCTGTTACGACCCTTACAGCAATGTAGGAATCCCTTGTATCATACTTCGTACTGATATATGTGCTGGTGCATTTCCGCAATGGCTTAACCCGCATTCTCAGAGAACAGCTGCGCAGCCAAAAAAGAGACATCAGCTTCCGCGCCTTGTCATCCTGACTGCTTGGAAGCATACCAGTATCCTTTGAGCCCTAATTGCGCTACCCTTTCCCCCCCCCCTCACCCCCCCCCCCCGCCCAATTTTCAGCAACCACGGCAGCCATGAGCACGGCCTAGTCAGCCTTTCGCCGAGCATGAACCGTGGACCCACACAAAGAAGCTCCCTCCAGAAACAGCGATTCTGTTCCGCGTTAACTATTTGTTTTTTTCTTTGTGTGCACCATATAGACACCATGCCACACAAAACAACTTACCCAGCGCGGCCTTTCCAAAGATGTTTAATGAGGTGGGACCCTAACAGCCAATGACCCACAGCTCAAACTAATCCTCCACGTCAACATGGGATCAAAAAAGGGGCCCGATATGGCCAAAGGGAATCATTTCAAGAGGATTGAAAATTGGAACACAGTTCCAACCAGCCCTGGCTGAATCGTGATTCAGCCAGGTCACAAAGATACAAATTCGCAAGCAAGAGCGATGAGGACGACTTACAAGGGAAAGAGTCTTTGACCTTTCGTGTGACAACTCTGCCCCCATGTTTCCCTTGTGTGTGATTCTTGTTTTAAGTGACTGTTCTTTGAAATGGATGACGCTTACGTACAACGTGGCAAGCGCTTTTCGGCAAGAAATGGAATGCCACAAAAGCCTTACGCGGGCAAGGCGCCTGAACAAAATGTTTGCCAATGTACTCCCACCAGTCTTGTGGGTTTTCACCAGCGCGATAGGCACCCTGCTCCTTTGGCGCCGGATCTGCACAAGAGACGGGCCGACGCAGCCATCATTTGCGGAGCTCAGCACAAGGCAAAGGGAAAGGACATGGGGAATCATCCGGTTCGTTACAAGTGTGTTAAGGTGAGAGCCAGGCTGCGCGCGGACCCGAGACCCGAAGGTAGGCCTCTCTTCCGAGCCCTGCAAAAACCCACAACCAGAGATGCCCACAAAAACTTGTTTATTGGCCTGATGGCTGGGGCAGCCAAGGCGTTTGATTGAGCCCCAGCCTCATCTAAGAAATGCCGCGTGTGCCATTTGCAGAACTGTTCTCGAGCAATGAGAGAAAAACACAAAGTGACCACACTGGCCAACCTGCTGAGCGCTCCGCGCAACTTTTTGCTCAAACTTCCAGAGTCTGCAAGCGTCCGCCCGGCATCTTGACCACCAACTTGCCCAGGACATGGTGCGAGGCGGAGGCGTTGAAGGCGGTCAAAATGTCCTACATGTGTCAGCCCAACCCTGGGAACAAGGCACGAGCCGACTCCTTCAGTTCTACGGTTTGACAGCCCCACATATTTCTCAACCGGTCAGCGCTTCAAGCTTGCAGTCTCGACGCTGGGCTACTGGATCTATTCCAAAAAGAAAGGAATTGTCAAATGGAGTTTGAGGAGCCTGGAAGGTGGCCCTGCTGATCCAAGCTGTCTACTTTCAACGGTGTCTGGCAGGCACGATCAGGTATTGGCTTCTTCCTATGTGCTACTGCTGTAGGCGACCAGAGAGGAGAGAGGCCCTGGGCCCGCACGATTGTGATTGCACAGATGTCCGTGCTCAAGCAAAACAAGAACAAGAACACGCGCGCATCCCTTTTGACATTCTGATGCGAATAAACGACTTCCCGTAATTGTTTGTCTTGACAGATGTGATTTCGACGTCTAGCAGCCGTCGATACATAAGTGCATCCCCGCTCAGTATGCTCTTGAGGAGGCCCGCAGCCCCCATTCTTCCGGCCCAACAGAGGTGAAAGTACTGAATCCACTCATCTATAAGCTCCTCACATCTGAGCCAGCTATCGGCGGCAACTCTGCTGCCATTGACAAACTAATTGCTTCTCAGCATGTCCTATCTGCCAAGCAAAACCTGCTCGGCTGCCACTTGTGGGTAAGGGCTACACATGGTGCACTAGGATGGTCTAGTCCTGCTGAAGTTGAATGGGGGTTCCGGAAGCTTGCAGGTGTCCCTAGTGATCTTATCTGTATAACCCCAATGGTGACTGGAAGGCGCGCGATCAGCTATGGGCTCGCGCAAAAACGGTTTGCGATTGCCTGGAAGTAACGCAAGAACAGCCGCGAAAAGGGTGTTTTTAAAGGAATGAACTCCCAGATTTGCCCTAGCGCAAATCCGAGACCACTCCTCCAAATCGTAGACCGTTTTCTGGGGCATGCGCAGCCGCCCCTTTACCGCCAATTCCGTGAGCTCGTCCAGCAATTCGAAGTTCTCCAGATTGGTCCTCTTGCGACTCAGCCGGAGCTCCGGTTATGGGAACCCCCCTTGTTGGTCCTAGGGTTGCGCTCAGGATAGTGCTAGTAGAGCCGGCGAAGCCGGTGAGCGGAAGTTTCAAAAATATAGGAACTGCAGTTATTCTTTTCTTGATTCCTTTCTCTCCTTCTTTCTTTTCTTCTCATTGCTTCTCTTCCATCTTTCTTTCTGTAATTTGTTGCTTTTTCTTCTGTCTTCCCCTTTGTTTCTTTCTTCCTTCCTTGGTTTCTTTCCTTCTTCCTTCCTTCCTTCCTTTCTTTCTGTCTTTCTATCTGTCTTTCTGTCTTGCTTGTATTTTTCTTTCTTTCTCTCTTTGTTTGTTTCCCTCTTTGTGTTCTTCCTTGCTATTTATAGATCGTTGTATCTAGCTAGCTTTCTCTCGCTCTCCCTTTCCTATCGATCTATCTATCTATCTATCTATCCTGTACCTCTCCATCTCTCTTTTTGTGTATTTCTCTATCTACCCTCAATCACTTGTCTATTTCTCTGTCTGTCCATCGCAGCCTTTGCCCAAGTTGGCTTGAGAATCTGAGCAAAGCAAGGAAAGTCTTCCATTGGATGGACATCCCACATCTTTCCCCGTCCCAAAGCCGCCCCAGTCCCTGCTTTCACTTGTATCACAACAGGGCTTTTCCTTTCTGCCTTTGAACTTCCCAAGCAAAACTCACACACGCGTTTGGGTATGGTGGATATCATTTAGGTGGGGATTGCCGTCCACCAGCCATTTGTGAGAGACCCCCTTCGCAAAGAGCCCAGTGACTTGCCGGAGTCTACGCTTTCAAGCAAGCGCCCATCTTACCAGTTTGGCCGGATGCAAACGAGGCGCTCCGAGTTGATGAACATCGAGCTCCTCACATCTTTCCGGGGATTCTTCGGAAGCTCCCCGGTGATGGTCACGTAGAACCCTCCCGCCTTGAGCTTTGCCATGGCACGGTCACCCGTGCTGCCCTCGCCCACAGTGTCGTAGATCACGTCTACCGACGCGTCAGGCAGCACCTATCGTCTGCGCTTCGACCGGCGTCTTTCCGCAGGAAACGGCGCGGGGATGCCGCAGAGAAACCGCAAAGAAGCAAGAAAAAGTTCGCTGTGTAAAAGAGTTCTCCAGTTTGGAAGTCCGTTTAAAACCAATTCAGGGCCGGGGGTGAGCGCGAGCCAATATCCCGCGGGATGCGGTGAGCGCAAGTCAATGGAATAAGTGAATAGGAACGAGTCTGCGCGGTGCGTTATTTTTCTCGTGATCATTTCATCTTTTCTCGGTGTGACACATATCTGGCAGTCGCAGCACAACTTCTTTTCTCACAAGCGATTCGTGTTGGGTTTCTGCAGCCGTCCCGCGCCGGCCTGACGGCAGCAATGACAAGCAAATGCACCTACGGCTCGGTCGCTTCGGCCTTCCCGCGCCAGGTCGCGCGTCAGCGACAGGGGCTGCAAACTCAGTGACACTACAGCGCGCTAGCTGCGACGCCACTACCTCCCATGCTGGGTTGCGCAGTGGCGCTTGGAGCTGGCGCAAAGACTGACGTTTTTTGATTGACCTCAATGACTGTCATTACTTGCAGTCGATGCCTGCCCAGTCTCGTGGCCTGTGTATCCATCGCCCACTCACCAGCCCACTCCTCCAACAAGAAGGTTGAACTACAATCAGCTCGTCCTGACTCGTGGGGGCCAAGAGCAAGGCACGCTTCCCAATCCGTCAATGTTGCTTTCCGCAGCAGAGTACGCACCAGCTTGCCGGGAAGAGCTGCACACTCCTGCCGCTCTGCCTCGCTGGTTGCTCACGCAGTTCTCCACCTCCGCTCTCACACGGCCCAATCCTCCAGATTTTTCTCAAGGAACAGCCCTCTAGCTCGGCTTAGCAAGCTTGCGCCTGCGCTTCTTCCACCCTTGTCACAATCTCGTCAGTAGAGACCATCGTACTCTTTGCAATCTCCACCTTGCGAAACTCCTCATTCGCCATATAGACCCTGCAAGCTCTTCCACCACCAAGTCCTTGACCGCCGTCTTTTTCTGGAGGCCAAGGCCTTGGCCTGCATGCCTCTATGCATTTCACTGTTTACTTTCCCTGTGCATGCATCTATGTACCATGCATGCCCCTATGCATTTCAGTCTACATTCCTTGCGCATGCATCTATGCACTTCACTCTGTGCTTGCCCTACGCATGCCTCTCTGCATTTCACAGTCTATGCATTGCACTCTCTACTGTGCATGCCCCTAATGCACTTTATTTCTCTAGGCATTTCACTGTCTACTTTCCCGGTGTATGCATTTCTCTGTCAACTTTCCCTGCGCATGCCTCTATGCATACCGTCTACTTGCCCTGCGCGTGCCTCTATGCGTTTCACTGTCTCTATGCGTGTCTACATTCGTGCATGCGTCTATGCACTTCTCTGTGTACTTGCCCTATGCATGCCTCTCTGCATTTCACTGTCTACTCTGTGCATGCCTCCATGCGTTTCACGGCGGCGCGCGCATCTGTGCACTTCACTCCACGCTCGCCCTATGCATGCCTCTCTGCGTCTCACTGTCTGCTCTGCGCATGCCTCTTTGCGCTTCACTGTCTACTTTCCCTGCGCATTCATCTATGCACTTCACTCTGCCCTATGCGTGCCTCTCTGCTTTTCACTGTCTACGTACCCGGCGGAATGCACTTCACTCTGTACTTGCCCTGCACATGCCTCTACGCATTTCACTGTTTACTTTCCCTACGCATGCATCTATGCACTTCACCCTGTGCTTGCCCACGCATGCCTCTCTGCATTTCATTGTCTACTTTCCCTGCGTATGCCTCTAAGGACTTCACTCTGTACTTGCCCTGCGCATGCCTCTATGCATTTCACTGACTACTCTGTGCGTGCCTATAAATATAAATTTATACAGTTCACAATCTACTTTCCCTATGCGTGCATCTATGCGCTTCACTCAGTGCTTGTTTTATGCACGCCTCTCTGCATTTCACTGTCTACTGTGCGCATGCCTCTATGCACTTCACTCTGTACTTGCCCTGGGCATGCCTCTGTGAACTTTCTTTCTGCATCATGCATCTATGCACTTCACTCTGTACTTGCCTCTATGCATTTCACTGTGCGCTCTCCCTAGGTATGCCTCTATGCATTTTATTGTGCACTTTCTCTACGCATGCCTCTGTGCATTTCGCTGTCTACTTTCCGACCTTACAGACGGAGCTGCGGGGACGTACTTCGCGTACTGCTTTTGTACGCTTCGCGTGCTACTTTTGTACTTAAATGTTGCAACTTTGCAGCCTGATCCCTGCAGACGGTCGCGCGCAGACCGCGAAGTTATGCCGGGACCGCAGCAAGAGTTGACACGATGTCCGCACAGGGTCGCGCGCGAAGCGCCAAGATTCGCACGGGAGGGTAGCAAGAGTGATGCGGCACGCACGATCCCCGCAAAGGGGCACGCGCGCACGGCAAGAATCGCAACTCCGATCCCCGTAGCGCGCGCACCTCAAGAATCGCAACCACGCCGATCCCCGCAGAGGGTCGCGCGCGTCACGCAAGAATCGCAAAAAAGCTTTTGCGCCTCCACCACGCCGATCCCCCGCACAGGGTCGCGCGGGTAGTTGAAAATCACTCAAAAACCACAGTTTTTGCACCTCGACCACGCCCATCCCCGTGGAGGGTCTCGCAAGTCACGCAAGAATCGCAAAAAACCCTCAGTTTTTGCACATCGACCACGCCGATCCCTGACAAAGTCGCATTTTCGCAGAGTGCGCTTGGTCCCACCGCGCCGCCTTGAGATACTAAATTTAGGAAAGCGTGCAAGTTCTCGTGCAAGCTATGCTCGTACGAAAAAAACAAAATCGCTACGCGTTTCACTGTGTACTTTCGCTTTGCGTGCCTCTATGCATTTCACTCTCTACTTTCCCTGCGCATGTGTCCTTATGCATTTCTGTGCATGCCTCTATGCATTTCACTCCGTACTTGCCCTATGCGTGCCTCTATGCATTGCACTGTCTACTTTCCTTGCGCATGCCTCTATGCTGTCCCTATGTGTGCCTCCTTTACCGGAAGAACCCTTCACAATGCCTTCGGGAAAAATGTCCAAAGATGCAATCAGTCAGCCCTTGCCCGGAGCGCAGGAAAGGTGTCAAGTCGCGCCCAAAGTGCCGCGCCTGTCGCGTAAAGTGAGCCCCCGGGCCACGCGCTCGACAACATCCAGTCCCTTTAGACAGCTGGCAAACGTTGCCCCTGCCAAGCAAATACACACCCAGATGCAGATCTGTGTGCCATCTCCAAAGTGCCGCAAATTGAGCCCCCGCATCATGCGCGCGACAAGTGTTGCCCCTGCCACGCGAACGCTGAAACATGCATGCGCGCCCTTAAGA